CGCGGCGGGAGTCGCGGCGGCAGCGTCAAACTCCGACAAAACGTGAACAAAATTTCATCCGACCGCAGAGAGAGCACCGGGACGCGGTCGGTCGATCATTCTGAGGTCCGACCAGGCGTATGCATTGCTCGCTCATCCAGGGCTATCACCTGGACCTATCAATGTATCAACAGGCGCCGGCGGCGCCGTGGTCAGGTGAGGCGTGAGGCGGAGCTGCGCTGCCACTCAACCCCATTGACCCTCATGACCTCCTGCGGTCTCTGAGATGGACACACCAGTGGGTGTGGGACCACAGAGTCAGGATACACTCGAAGGCTGGGTAAGCAGTAGAGCTAGAGGTCGATACTCGACGCGTCCCACTGCCACATGGTCTGTGTCGCTCTGTCGGCACGCTGTCGAGACCTCGCGGCGGGACCGACATATGCGTGGCGTGCCACTAGGTGGTGGTGCAGTGCTGTGCTCACTGAAGCTGCTCCGACCTGTTCACACTTTTTCGCGTACAGCACAGTATACGTTGTAGAGAAAACCAAAACCGCTGTTTCCCCCCCGGCGTGACGCGTGTGTGGGCGTGGGGCGCCAGAAGGCGCAGCGGCCGCAAAAGTGCGCACCGTGGGCCGCGGTGTGCGCGCACCTCTCGCCGCCGGTAAGGTGGGGCGGGGGGGGGGGGGGGGGCGAGGCAAGGACTGGGCACCGTAAGTCTCCTCCTCGAACGGATTAATTAAGGGCTAATTAAGGGCTTTATTGAGGGCTATATTGAGGGCTAATTGAGGGCTAATTGAGGGCTAATTAAGGGCTGATTAGGAGTCCTCCATGGAGGGGGAGGGAGGGGGTGGTCCCGACGCATCATCTAGCGATTGAGAGAGGGGCCCGGAGTCCCGCGCCCGCGGCGAGCAGCGCAAAGGACGCCGCGAGCCCCTCGGCGGTGCCGCTCGCCTGAGTGTAAGAAGTCACCACTGATGAAGTTGAAATGAACTTCTTGTCCATTCCGAGCCCCTCGGGCGGTGCCGCTCGCCTGAGTTTGAATGCACGACTCCTCAAGAACCATTCACTGTGAGCCCCCTCGGTGGCGCCGCTGCCTCGACGACCCCGTCGAAGCCGCGGCCAGAGTCGAGCCTGCTGACAGTCTTCTCTCACCGACACAGTCAACAGCTTGCCGCAAGCCGCGGGGAGAGGGCCGGCCTGCGCAGCGCCTCCGCCGCACGGTCTGGGGCGAGGGCCTGTGTCGCCTAGGAGAGAGCATCCTCGCGCGTCGCTGTTTGTCGTTGTCCGTCTCATGGCAGTCATCCGTTCGTGTGGCCCGGGGGCAGAGGCGTGTCTCGCCTAAGGCTAAGGTGAGGTACACCTCTCCACACACAGAAGGTGGTGGGGCAGGGGCAAGGGGCTAGTCCCTCGCGACTCCACGTCTAGGAGCCCCACGGCATTGAAAGTGCAAGGCCCGGTGCGCGTGGGCGTGAGCGTGTGTGAGTGTGTGCGTGTGCGCGTGTGTGTTCGCTCGCCTCGTACCGGAGGGCGAGCTCGCGCCTACCGATGAATTCAGAGTTAATTAGGGGTTAATCAGGGGATAATTAGGGGCTAACTAAGGGTGAATTAAGAGCCCGCGCCTATCGATGATGACCAACTCGCCAGTCTCAAGGCCGTCCCCCACTCTGCACCGGCGGAGAGCCAGTCTCGCAGAAACGGCGCGAGGAGCGCGCGCCGTGTCGCTGACCGGTCCACCGCCAAGATGACCGCAGCGTCGCCCGCGAGTAGCCGCAGCGCGCCGACCGCCATCAGCCCGAGGGGGGTGCACCCGAACACGGCGAAGCAGCGCGACCCGCGCTTCTTCTCGCCTTTGCCGAGAGCAGCCGAGATGAGCCGAGATCACCCCGAGATCAGCCGAGATTCGCCGAGATTCGCCGAGATGCGCCGAGATGCGCCGAGATGCGCCGAGATGCGCCGAGATGCCCCGAGATGCCCCGAGATGCCCCGAGATGGCGGGGCCACGCTGCTTCTTCTCGCCTTGGCCGACGGGCGCGTCCACGCCGTTCGCCGCCATGCGGGCGAGCGCCATGCCGGGTGCGAGGTAGTCTGCCGCGATGAGCACCTAGGTGTAAGGTGAGGTAAGGTGAGGTGTGGTGAGGTGTGGTAAGGTGAGGTAAGGTGAGGTGTGGTGAGGTGTGGTAAGGTGAGGTAAGGTGAGGTGTGGTGAGGTGAGGTGAGGTAAGGTAAGGTGAGGGGTGTGGTAAGGTGAGGTGAGGTAAGGCAAGGTACACGTCTCCACACACAAAGTGGTGGGGCAAGGGCCAGGCTACCCTCGCATCTCTCCACGCCCGGACACACCGGGGCAGGAGCACCAGATGAGCTCGACCAATCTCGGGTGCGATCTCGACGCAATCTCGGAGGGAGGGAGGGAGGGAGGGAGGGAGGGAGGTAGGGAGGGATCTAGGGAGGTATCGAGCTAGGTCGGACGTGCGAGAGCTTGCATCGACGCTTACTTAACCTTATTTCTAGGATCTAATCGAATGCTTTAATAAATTCTCCATGCAAGCAGTTAATCTATGCCAATACGATCCTCATGTAGTCAGCCAGC